AATTGCATTAAATTAGTAACTCCAGTGTCCACGGAATGGGCACAGGGCAAAACCGAAACACTATGAATTAAAACTGTAAAGAAAACAAGAATATACCCCTCTTTTGGAAGGGTATATTTCTTCAAACTTACTCAGATGTCATGTATTCAGCAGATGAAAAGCAAGACAGGGAATCCAGAGAACTGGCTTCTGCTCAGGTCTGTGCAAACCATGAGATTGTGGATAGGGCATTGGAAAAATTATTTAGCTCTAGTAATGCAACAGACAACTAAAAATTTGCATTTTGTGTCAGAATTGTTGTAAGACCTTTACCTCGTGTTATTTTTAGTGAACAGTGGTTGAATTTTCAAGAAACTTGAGTTCTACTTTCCTTTGCCTTTTTTAATGTATGTAATGAGTGGTTTTAAAAAAAAAACTTTGGATTTTTTTAACTGCTGAAGAGCTAACTGTTCACAGTTTAATAAGACAGTCATAAAGCAATACTTTCTTTAGTAGATTTTCTGTTTCCTAGTTAGCATCCTGAGGACTTCTTGAGCTTGAATATCTATCTGCATTAAGATCCATAAGGGAGTTTGTTTCTGTCTGTTTATCTAGCTGTATTTTAAATTCATACTGCTGTAGGATATTGCATTCTGTGAGTTCAACCAGATGTAACATGAGAAAACAATACTGGCTTTTGTTTGGAAGTTCTGACAGATAATTTCACTGGATCCCCTTTACTTCTTGCATTGTGAGCAATGTATTCCTTGTGCCAGCTATAATTTTTTTGTATCTGTAATCTTGCTTTGGACTACAGAGTCCCCTTGGCCTATTTTGATGTTTCTTTCCTCTTCCATCTTTATGGTGGTTGGTTGCTGGTTTTCTTTATCTTTTCCGGTCATAGATGGTATGGTCAGAGGAGTCCATACAGGTTAAAGTGTGATGCTGTGATTTCTGTCTGTCCTTACATGGTTTTCCTAGTTAGCATATTGTCTTGTCCATTGACTGCTGCTAAGTACTTGTTGTGGTTTGAGCCCTGGTTGGCAGCCAACCACAACGCAGCGGCTCTCTCTCCCTTCTCCTCCAGGCAATGAGAAGGGACAGAGAGCCAGGCTTGGGGTTTGAAGATAGGACTGGGATGGGGAAAAAATCACCCTTTATGAGCACGAGCAAAAGGCAGACTCAGTTAGGGGAAGAAAAAAAAGAACACTACATTTATTACAGACACTAACAACACATAACAGAGCTAGGACAGTGAGAAGCATTGCCACATCTTGAGAACACCTTCCCCCACCCCTCCCTTCTTCCCGGGCTCAGCTCTGCTCCCGATATCTCTACCTCCTCCCCCAGCGGCGCAGGGGCAGGGAATGGGGGGTGCAGTCAGTGCTGCTACTTTCCTTATCTTCAGTGAGGGGAGTGTCCTAGAACTTGTTCCCCCAGCTCCAGTGTGGTCCCCCTCTCACAGGAGACAGTCCTCCACCAACTTTCTCCAACATGAGTTCCTCCCATGGGCCGCAGCGTTCCCCACACTGCTCCGTCATGGGTCACTAACTTTTCTCCGACTGGATTCCCTCCCACGGCTGCAGCCCTTCCCGAGCTGCTCCGGCGTGGGACTCCCCCGCGTGCTGCAATCCTCCCAGCGCTGAATTACAGCAGCGGGGCTGCCTTTTCCCACGAGACCCCCGTGCTGCTTCGGGCACAGAACCTTGATCATCCAAGCAGAAGCCACAGGCCATAAATCAGTGTCTCCTCTACCGTAGATCTTCATGGGTGGCAGGGGGGGCCGCCCTGCCGTCTCCCCACAGGATACAGGGGGGTCTCTGCTCCGGCACACCTCCCCCCTCCTTTCTTCCTCCGTTCCTCCACTGACCTTGGTGTTCACGCGGCTGCAGGAACTCCTCCTCACAAGTCCCACTGCTCGTCACCACGTCCCTTCTTAAATACGTTATCGCAGAGGCGCAGCTGATGGGCTCAATTTTCCAAACCGAAGTGGAGCTGACTTGGAGCTGGGGGAGCTTTGAGAAGCTTCTCACAGGGGGCCACCCCGATAGCCCCCTCCCCTGCCACCAAAAAACTCCACCACTCACTCAACCCAGGACCGTACTGGATTGCTGTTTTCTGAGAATTAGCCGCATAATACTGAGGCTTTAAACTGTAATTAGAATGTGAATTCTTGCCTGCCCTTGACCTCCTTGTCCCTCCCTGCTGTTCCCCTGGCACTTCTCAGGTACTAATTAATGCCCAATGCATCTGCAGCACTTTGTAATCACTTTTTTGGTTGTTCAGAATAAACTTAAAATTATAAGACAATTTTGTCACTCAAATATTCATCAACTGTCCTTAAAATTATTCTGAAGTGTTTTGGACAGGGCTAAGCATAGATTGGTCTGGATTCCACTGGTCACTTCCATTTCGCACAAAAACTGACTTTTGAAGCTTGAGGTCTCTTCTTTTAACCAGTTATTAGTCCATAAAAAGAAGCTTACTCTTAACCCACAGCAGTTATGTTTAAGTAACACTGCTGAAAGACTCCAAAGATTTCTGCAGTGTCAAGTTGCATGCTTGTAGACCTGAAACACCTTAGGTCTGTCTCTCTGCCTCTCTGTGTCTAGTAAGCCTTGCTCTTAAAGCTTCAGTAAACCTGGTGACACCATGCAAAGTAAGTAGCTGTTCTGTAGTTTCTTGGATCCAGCCAGAGCTTTTTATCCCCAAAAAGCAGTTTCACACTTTTTGTGTCAACATTACCAAAACTGACTTAAGTGCTAGATTAAACACAGTGGTAGTGGTTAAACATGGGTAAGATTGGCAGGTTCATTTGTTAATTCCTTAAAATTTTCTCTTGAATTCTGTTTTTGTGATTTGTTGTTACTGTTTTAATCAGTTTATTTCAAAATACCTTGTCCTCACTGAATAAGAGAAGAGACAAAGAAACTGAATTTCTTAAGTGGAGGAACGTTGTAGTTTTTTCACTGAGAATGCAGATGCAAGTAATTAATTTAATTTCCTGCAGTGACAATCTTGCACCCAAGTGAGAAAAACAGAGAAGAGCATAAACTGGTTAAAAATCACTGAGGACTAAAATTGCCTAAATGGCTGAAGAAGTTTGAAGCACAGCAGAAGTAGGAAGTCTTTACAAGTGAATGGGACTAGGAAATACCAAGATGTGAAAAAAGAGCATGGATGTCTTTTATTTGTATACTTGTACTTTTTGTAGAATGGTATCTTGAAACAGTTTCCATGGCATTGGCAAGCACTTTTTCTTTACCAATTCCTATCTAATTATCCCTTTAAAAAGCTTGCCTGCTTTTTGTTACCTCCATGTTTAAAACTAAGCATCGGGAAGATTCTTTCAACTTTCTTATTTCTTACAGTAGTAGTTTAATTACTGTCATAGAGAGGGTCTTTGAAAGTTACAGATTTTGGCAAATTACAGAACACAGCTCAATCTGGACACTTCTCTTATTTCTCTAACTTCCTCTTATTTCCCATTGTTGCTCTATTTTCTCCTCTTAGCTGCTCTTAGCAACTCGCTGTCCCAGGCATCTCTTAATTAATGTATATGATCATAGGCCCTTCTCACTTAGGCATGGGATTTCAGTCCATAAGGCTTTTTGAATTTCTGTTGATTAGTTGATTTCTTTACCTTGTTTGATTCTCTTTTCTTTAATGTGGATCCCAGTATGTAGGAAGTGGTGTTTTATTCCACCTATGCCATTTCTAATACGGCATTAGTAGTGTTCTGACTTTTCCTGCCAGCTTTCTGACAGTCCTGTTTAGATCAGTTTCTTCATTTTAGAAATAGGCATTTCTGGCTAGTGTGCACTTGCATGCTCTTGTATACATGTACATTTCTGTAACTTGTCTAAAAGTATGTATTTTTTTGGTCCATCAGGCTGTTATTCTTGTCCTGTCTGTAAAAGGAATTTTCCCTAGCACTCTATTGCATGGAAATAGAGGCTTATTCAAGCTGTTTGAAATTGAGTAATTGCATTCCTTGGTCTCTGTTGAGTTCAGACATCTTGAGTAGGTCAAAAATGTGATGAGAAGGAGGCTTCAACACTGGCTAGTAATCTTCAGTTTGACTTCTAGAACAAATAATGGAAATACTGAGTAATTGATAATGGTGGAAACGTAAGTAGATTTCTCACAAGGAAAACCATTCCTTACAGCATTGTTCAGCACTTTTCTCAGGGCCAGTGATGTACTGACGTGTATGAAATAGGCTTTTCTGTAAAAGTGTATTCTTTTTCTTTCCTATTAATCTTCCTTAATTTAGGTATTATGAAACTGTGTCTGATGTGCTAAGTTCTGTTAAGAAAATGGAAGAGAGCCTGAAAAGGTTGAAGCAAGCCAGAAGAACTGCAACTTCAAACCCTGTTGGTACAAATGGGGGCATGAGTGATGATAACAAAATCCGATTGCAGCTGGCCCTAGATGTTGAGTACTTTGGAGAACAAGTAAGTTACAAGAAACAAGGTTGTTTACTGTTATTATGGGTTTTGGGAGTGAGATAAAGAGGAAAGGAAAGCTTGACAGTATTTTGGTCTTGCAAGCTTTGTCTGTGATTTTGGGGGTTATTGCTTTGTTTTTTCATATTTTATAATGGAGATGACTTGAGACCTTGGTGACTGTAGATGCTGCTTGATCACTGCATCTTTTCCTGTCCTTTCTTATACAAATACAAAACTTATATTTCTCACTGTTCAAAATTCAAGTAGTACTTAGAAACACAAAGAAGAAACACTGTGTGGACAGATCAGAGGGCAGGGGCCTTCCTTAGCTCTGCTGGAAACATCTTGATGGCCCTGCTTTTGCTTGCCTTCTCCCTGGATAGTTCCAGCCTTGACTTACTGCATAGTCATGGGTCTGTTCCCAAGAGGTTTGAAGATGTTAGCTTTATTTGTTGCGCTGTGTATCTGTAAGTTCTTTCAGTACCAAATATGAAACCTTAAATAACAAAACAAATAAGAAAATATTCCAGGAAATGTGTGCAGTAGCTACATCAAATTATGTAAGCACACTGGTTTGTACTCATTTATTTCTGAAAATTATATATAGAGATAAACAAACTTCCAAGTGCAAGTCTGTATCATCAGTTGCCAAGCAGTTGTCATCAGTCTTGTTTATGAGCAGATGCTGTTGATGCATTGTCACAGGTAGATAGTCTGCCTCTGTGTGTGCAGATGCTTTTCTTATATCTGAGACTTATCACAAAGGAAGATTTGGGTGGAAATACGGAAATCTTACTAAAAAGAGCTATTATTTGCCAGTTTTTGGCTGGGGTTGGGCTTTTGTTCTTTTATTCCTACCACGTGCACTAACATCACTGCAGTGTGAATTTAAGCTGAACTGGGGCAGAGTATTCATAATCATTTAGGAGCTGTTTTGGTACATGTAACCATTACAGTCTTCCAGCAGCAAACACCTTTTCAGAATCATTCCATTATGATTTTACTGAAATCCAGATTTTTCTTTTTTCAGTGCACTCTTAGTTTTCTCATGGCTGTATTTTTCTAATTGTCAGGGCAATATATTTCCTGGGTAAGAAATGATTCGTAGCAACCTCTCTATTTGTAGAGTTGTTTTCATCCCCCAGGAAGTTCAAGGCTGGAACCATAGGCACTTGCAGCCTATTGAAATGCTTTCATCATCATGTTCTTGGCTGTTCTTGGATGTATTCATGTTTATCTTTAAAGTTTTGCCCAGAAACCTCATTTGGGGTTTGAAAAAATTTCAATTGAAATCAATGCATTAAAAACAAACTTACAGCCAAGTTTCTCTTCCTGACTGTTTCATTGGAAAACTTTCAACTGGCTTTAGTTACAGGTTGCCTAGAAGATGGTCAAATATTTCCCTGCAAGCTGCTACATTAACTGGAAGGACTTAACTGAGCAAAGTTGGATGCAAATTTTTTTTATAGTGTGCACTATATGCAGCTGTATTTTTTTGCTGCATGCCAATGCAGGACAAAATATATACTTTGCTAAATGTTTTAAGTAGTATAATTAGTGAGCTTTTGATGTTTTAAAGAAAATTAATATTTCTTCTGTTTCTCTTTAGATACAAAAGATGGGACTGGAAACAAGCAGCATAAAAAGCTTCTCAGCCCTTACAGAGCTGGTTCTAGCTGCCAAGGATCAGGCTACAGTGGAACAATCCTAGATATTTTTGAAAGCATGTGTTTGAAGATAAACAATGTCCCTAAAAGAAAGAGAATTTAACTCTATTTTACCAAATAAGTAGCAATGAAGTGCTTCCTAACATATCTTGAGCAACAAATTAGTCCATCTTCTGTCAAGATAGGCTTGTTTCACCAAAAGACTGAGAATTTACCATTGTTTTCCATTATATGGAAAGCAATCAAAAGTTCTAAACTTTCTACTATGGAATAAAAGTAGAAGAAAATGCTTTTTTATTTTTGTTGTACATCTAAAAATTGTAGAAGAATGAACTTATATGATGAAAATAATATGTAATAAATGGTCTTCCTAACTTCTTATGTCACATGTGGTTTTGTATCAAATGTATTCCTTGATGGCTGTCAAAAACTTTCAAAGGGGCTTTATTCCAGCTCTTCTGGAATAAAGAAAGTACTCAGAGGAATAGGAATCTGCTATTTCTTGTTACTGTTTTGCACTTACCTGCTTTCCCTCATCGTGGGATGTGGTTATCTCTTGTTTGGGTTTTGACTGTTTTCATTTTACTGATTTGTTTTTTTCACAGACCTTGTTAGTTAGAAGTACTGCTTAAAAAAAGCTTTTAAAGTAATTTAAATTTCAAAAATAATTTCTAGTATCAGTATCTAACTTACTGGGTGTTACATTCAGGCTACCTGTTTTCCTTCAAACTAAAACTTAATTCACTAAGCTAGAATTTATTCAGAATTGTATTTCTGATTTGTATTATATTTTCTACTAGAATTCAGGGGAATATTTTGCCTGAATACATGTAGAATTCTTGTAACCTCAAACTTAGTTACTTCAGTACAAGTGCATCTTTTTGTGGCTGGTGCTACCTTCTGACTTTGAGTAGATGGGATAACTTTTAAATTAGTATGAACACTTGGAAGCTGCCTCTTTCATGCTTAAAGCTATAGCATTGGCTGTATTGCATGATAATTTACAATTTACTGTCTTAACATAAATCTGACTTGGAGCAAATTTCAGAAGCCAGAACAAATGATGTAGTTATGGACATAAACCCAATTGAACTGTGGCAAAGCAACTTGGAAGTCGTTTTATTTGCATCTTTCCATCTCTGCATATTTATAGTTAATTTCTTCTGTATATAATACAAGTATTGTATTTAGATGTTAAGGCATCTGGAATACATATAGTATAATTGGATAAATACGTGGATGTTGTATCGTAGCACTCAAAATTCTGGTATTCTAGAGAGTGGTTTGTGTTACTTATTAGTCTTTTCCATCAAGCTAGAAGCATCTATGATGTATCTACATCACCAATACCAGGCCACTGGCGTTAGTGGCTTTGGATTAGGTACACATTTAGGCCACTGTGGATGACAACGAGCTATCGTGCTCTGTAGGATACATCTGGCATCGTGTACCAAAGAGGTTTGCAGTTATTTTCTGAACACCATCAGTGCAAAAGACTAAATCTAGAGATGAGAGGTCGAAATCCTTGTTCCATGGAGAGGCTTTCCTTAGTACCTGGATTTCATTCCCAACTCCTCACTTCCTGATTCAAGAACAGTCTAATAATTTGTTGTTCCAGTTTAATGTTTCAAACCTTTATGACTCTTAAAAGAGTTGAATTGGACCACTGAAACCTTTTTATTCATGTGTAGCAGCACATCCACCACTTATACTAGTATGTATTATTGCCATTAATACTTTTTTAAGAACATATGGTTTGGATGTGTTAGATTACTGATGGGCTCTAACCAGTAATCTTCTTCACTATAAGGCTGTAATAAATGCCTCTCAGGTTAGAAAGTAATCCAAGGAATGGAATTGTATTGGAACAGTAGGCCTTAGGTTTTTTCCTAAAAAAAAGTGGAGATAATTCTGTCAGGCTATGAGAGTTTTTCCATCACAGTTCATTAGTGCTACCAAACCCTATTTTTAGTTTTTCCATACAGTTGAGAAATGAGCGCATCCATCTGGGCTGCAGAAAGAAGAAACTTCCTCTAAGTGTGTTTTTTGCTTCCAAGGCAAAAAATCTTGTCTCAGTGGGACAAGCGCAGCCTGCTCATGCTGTTGGCAGCATTTTAAAGGAAATTGTTGCTGATGAAGTTAGAAATCTCTGTGGATAGCTGTAAAACTTTCACTATAATGTAAAAAGGGGTCTCCCTTGCAAAACTGACCAAACTGAATATTAAAAAGTGACCTCTTAAAGAATGAAGAGATCCTTTTGTATACCTTTCCATAGTAAATGCTGCTTGTGCTTAAAAAAATTAGTTTCGGTAACCAGCAGGGCATTGGCTTATACTGTGTCCCCACTGCATTGAAACAGGGAGCTGGGGGCAGAAGGGAGACAAAGTGGGAATAAGGAAAGATGCGAAGCTGGAGGAAGAGTTTGAGTCACCTCACATGAAGTACATGAACAAGGATAAAATGTTGCAATGTTTTAGCTTTCAAAAAGCTGTATTTCAAACACTACCTGCTTCATCTCCAAGCGAAGTAGAGCACTCAACAAGATCGTAAAAATAGCTGATGAATAAGAAAAGGGTGATGGTAAATGTGCATCATTCTCCTCCCTCCCCATCCCCCATGCTTGCATTTAAACCCCGTGCAGAGGGTTTGTTATTCTGCCAAGGAAAAGCATTGCCCTTGACTTCTCTTCAGAAACAGCTAAAAGGAAGGGCTTGTTCAGTGTTATGTCCAGGAACACCACATCTTCCTTCTGTGCTGTGGGATCTTCTGGCTGATCTGTTCCCGCACTGGTCAGTTTGAAAAAGGCTTTATTTATTACCTGGAAGGCAAAACATATGAGTAACTCTGGAGTCATCAGAGCATGATAGTGAAGATACAAATGAGAGTTTGAATAAATGATAAAGCATGTGAAGTAACCAATAACTTAAATCAGCTGTATGCAGCACAGGATAGACTCCATGGATGTTTAAAAAAGATGCTGGAGTACTTATTCCACATGTGAAAAAGCTCTACAGCTGCTGGTACACTTGAAGCCCCTGAGAGAACTTCCAAGGTATGGCACCTTCTAAAAATAAATAAAAGCACTTGAATTGTACTTCTGGAATGTAATTTGCCTTCTTTTTATGAAAGATAATCCTTGGCTTCAAGCTCTCCTTTCTTCCCCTTGGGACCTGAACACTGAAGCCTGTCATCAGGTGAGGTCGGGTGCTGCATGCACCTCTGTGTTTGCTGTTTCTGGGAGTAGTCCCTGAGTGATGGAGGGAGGATTATCCTCAACAGCCCGGTAGCTGCAGCCTCTACTATGCACTCCAGCTCTGGTGCCTGGAGGTGTGTGAGCTGGAGGTGGTAATGAATGCAGTCTTAATTTCTATGTACAGCACCTAGCACAAGCGGATCTTGAACTTGATCTCTGTGTTGCCTGTTGTGTTTGCTGCAGTGATGAAATTTGAACCGTTTAAGGCAGACCTGTTGCTGCTGATAGGTTAATCTAAGGAATATTCATATTGTTCAGTCATCTTGAAAGTCCCCTACTGAGCATGTGTCCCACAGGTCTCTGACTGGTTTGTTCTAGGTAAATTTATAGAGTTGAAGAGGCTGAAACTGAGCAGGAGGCATATTTTTTAAATACCAGTGATGTGTACTGTACCTTCCCAACTGTTAGGTTGACGTCGCTTATTTTACTGAGATCTGCCCCCTTCCCCAGCAGTTCAGGCAGTTTCATATCTGCAAGAAGCTCCTGTAGATCAGAGCTGCCTTCTATTGTTAACTCTGGTAATGTTAATTTAATTTCTCTGTAGAAAAGAGAGAGAGAGAGAGAGAAGTGTGTGCTCTCCACTGTGAAAGTGTGATGTTTGGGCAGTCCTGGGGAAAGGGCATGTGAAAACAGCCGCAAGAAGTGCTTGGTATGTGGGGACAAACTGCCAAGGGCCGATGGGCATCATGTTACTGTTTCCAAGTAGGAAGTCACCCTAAATCTGCCCTGAGGTATACTATTAAATCCCAGATCATCCCACTTCATGGGTCCTGTGTTGTCAAGTATGGAAAGGCATGTGCTTGTTTCCTTGAAATACCCCCCAGATAAAAAGCCAATCCCACTGCAGTGGAGCTCCCTTGCAGTGACACCCGCACCCCACCCCACCCCCCCCAGCTTTGCAGGCGTTTCTCTTTGTGCTTGGTGTTAAACCCTCCCTGGCAGGAGGTCAGGGAGCAGACGGGCCTGCGCCCTGTCCCGTTCACCCCGGGCCTGAGCCCTACCTTGGGGACAGCTGCTGGAGCCAGGCCGGGGACTGCAACTGCAGCTCCGCCTCCACCCGCTCCAGGTCGCTGCCATTGATGGGCTGAAGCAGCACCAGCAGTGCGGTCTTGCTGATGGGGACTTCCACCACAGAAAAAGTCCCACTGGCATCGGTTTTGTACTTGAATGTTCCCGTGACTGACAACATAGGGACCAAGACCTCTGTGTTTGAATCCACCCGGAACTCCTGAGGCTCTTTGAGCCGGAATGCTTGCTTAACGTTCACTGAAAAACAGGTTAAGAAAAGAGAAGAATCAGTTTCTTCCTCTTCGCTCTTCCCCTCTGTCCCATAGCCTTTATATATGCTTGTTTAAAAGCAACACCCTGTGCATTAGACAAGGACTGTGTGTATAAAGTCATGTTTAGCCACTGTAAACATATCTATCCTGTCTTTAATACACCTTCTGGTAGCATCAAGCAGAGGTTGGTTCAGGCTCACAGCACAGGCACCGTGACCATCGGCACTGTGGCCAAAGCTGCTGTGTTTCTACTGGCTTTGTGGCCTTTCCTGGCCAGTACTTCTGCTTGCTTGGTTGCCTGCTTCCTCACAGGCTGCCGCATGGCTCCCGGTTGGCTCGCAGGGCCTGCTTGGATTTCCTCTCCATCCCTCGAGTGGCGGTGATGGCAGGTTTGGGAGCACATTAGGCATCAGGGCCAGTCCTCGCTGCAGGAGCACTCTCGGGTAGCCAGTGGGCTCAGGGGAGGAAAGGCAACACAAGCTCTGTCTGAGGTTTCACCCTTGGCAATCTTCTGAACCAAAGCAATGGGGAAGGTAGTAAGCATAATGCCGCAGTGTTGACTGAGCCAAGGAGGTTAAAAAGGACATACCTGAATGCTTGCTAAACCTTAATATAAATTTCTTACCCAGTTCACAAGTAAGGGAAGCCTTGCTCTCACCTCCCACTGCTTCTGTGCAGCTTTGCATTTCAACATGTTATCTGCTCACTGCCATAGATCAGTGCTGCTGCCCAGTTAGGCTGATAATCCTGTTGACATTAAAGAAACTACTGCCATCAACAAGAAGGGCAAAGATCAGAAATCTCGAAATTGCTGTTTGGTGGAATTAGGGAAACAGATGTATATGTTGTGGTAAAGAAAGGAACACCTTGCATTAGGTTAATATTGGTTTAACATAAGAGCTGGTCTAGATATACTGTTAAGCAGTCTATCCCCCGATAAATCCAGATAAATCCTGGACCCTGACATATTTAATATGTAGTAAGTGATTTTGCATATGAACGCTTGCCTCTTAAATGAGCTTGCATAAAAAGAGCATTTAGGCACTTTCACCTACTATAATTTCACCAGAAAAAAGCATCAGGTAGGAGATGTGAAAGGTGTAAACAAAACAAAGAACAAGGACGTAGAGTTGTTCAATTTTTTTTCTCATTCTATAAGCATAAGGGATGCAAGTAGAAAGGAGTCACTTTCACAGGGACTGTATAACCTGCAGAATTCATTCTCACAGGACAACAATTGTCAAGACTGTAACAGGGTTAAAAGGAGAAAAAGAACTGAGCATTCAAATAGCTAAATGTATCAAGGTGGGATAGTAATTGGTTTTAAATAGTCTTGGGAAAGATATTGCAAAATTTCAAAGCTCTGCCATTGACTTTGGGACCGAGTCCATTAATATTGTACTAGTTGTGAACCATGACAAATCAGCACCCCTGTGTTTGAAATGGCTCCCTGTAGCCGCCTGCTAGGTGAGGGTCTGGACATCTGTGCCCTCAAGCATGTAACTAGGTGAGTACTCCTCTGAAAGCACTCTAAAACACGTCAGTAGTCTTAATATGACTGTTTGTTTCTTACAGCAATTTTTTAGGGAACAGGAGGGATGTATTTACTAAAGAAACCCTGCTTTTTGCCTCAGACATCTGGAATGAAAATGAGGAAAACTGATGAAGAACATCCCTTCTATAGAATTTTAATAGCTGACACACTGGAAGAAATGGTTTCTTACAGTTAGAGCTCTTGTATCAGGACACACAAGCTGTGGGATTGGGCAACCTTTTGGCACCCACATCAAAGCATGGAAGAAACCTGTGTCTACAATACAAGGAAGAAAACTGAAGTGAAAAAGGCTGTCAGTCACAGAGAGAAGATGTGGCCTGAGGGAGCAAGAGTGCTCTGCAGTACTGATTTGGGAGAACAGGAAAGAAACGTTGGACCTCCTTGTTTCAGGTGACAATCTCCATGTTCTCTAATATTGGCTTTATGCCAGCCTGACAAGCGTAATGAGAGGTTGATTTTCTGTGGAAATCTGTGGCTTTTTACTTTTAAAAAAATATAGCAAAAACCATCCAACTGAATTTCTAGTTAAAACTGAAGTTGTTGAGGGTTGTCTGTTCAAAAGAGAGTTTAAATGGGAGGAGGTAAGGGTGCTTAAGATCATGCGGTCCCATGGTGCTATTTTCATTCACTAGTTTGTAATTATTTTGCAACTTAAAAAAAAAAAAAAAAACAACAGTCTATCAGTAAGATTTGCACCTGAAGTTCTGCACTGGATTCTAAACGGCAGCCCCTGCTCAGCAGCAAGTCTACAATTGAGAGAACTGTGCAAGCTGACAAGAGGTGAGACTGCTGGACCATTTCATTGTTATTTTGTATGGGTGTCTGTCATTTTATCAATGCTATGGATGTTGATAGCATCTCAGGAGCATATAATGTTTCAGACCAAAAAAATGTACTTTTCCTTTTCTGCAGTTATAGGGACAGACATGGAACATGACAGCATCGGCTCTCATGATTGGCCTTCCACAACCAAATGGAAAAGAAAATGCTGAAGTTATCTCCTTTGTTTATTAGAAGAGAGTTTCTTATCTAACTCATTTGCTCTTGAGCCAATTTTCTCCATCCCACATTTGGAGACTACAACATCTCAAGTGCATCCTTCTGAGAGAGGAAGTAGTAGAGCTGACCCAGTGACTCAGCCCCTTGAGCATGTGTTCCTAAACTAATAAAAATAAAAGTTTCCAGTACAGAAGGAGAAAATTGTTCTGCTGAAGGAAAACTCTGCTCTTCTGACTATGCTTAAGTCTGTAACACAAGCATTATTTTTACAGTATCATCTCTATACTACACCTTACACTGAAGAGCAAGCTGATGCTCACAGCTCCCTGAGGAGTTGGGATCATTTAATGACAACATGCATGAAAGGCAAAGAAAACCTGATATCTGTTTTACAGGTGAGAAGATGAAGGCACAGAAGCATTTCATGGGCACCAGAGCTCCACTTTTAGCAGCAGAGGCCCACTTAGGAATTTATGGCTCACTTCAAGTTTTCTGAAATACAGTCACTGGTAGGCAAGCTGTCCTAAAGCGTGTGATCTCTGGTATTGCATTCAGTCATGAGGATGTTGAAAAGCAGCTACATTCAGAAGAGGAGGCTCAGTTGTGGTACAGGGGGATTTTTGGGACAGCAGCATGGAACAACCCTAGGTAATCAAGGGATTGCCTTAATTCTTCTAGTTCTGTATACACTCCCTGCTTCCGTAACTGGTAGCTTGTTTGCTTGCTTCCTGAACCAGAGGTTGCCTCCAGACTTCTGTGTTGAATAGCCACTAGAGAAGTCACGTGCATTATATTTTTTAGCCTCTTGAATCTATACCTCCAGCCTCTTGCCCCCAGCTCCCACCTGGAATTACAGGTTCTGGGGAAAGGTATTTCTTTGTCTTGCTTTAAACCTACTTCCTGATCATTTTTGCTGGAGGCCCCTCATGACTTGTACTTCCTTTGCAGTCAGAAATGCTGCTCAAATCCTCTCTTATTCACCTTCCCACCTTTCCTAATTCTTAGCTTCCTGGACAAGGAAAATTTCCTGGAGGCCATCTCCCTCCACATCCTCCCACTTGCCCTTGCTGGCTCTTAGCAGAGCGTAGGCAGGACCCCCAGCACAACAGCGGGGAGCAGGGTGCTGTACATGGAGCAGGAGCCCAGACTTTCACCTGAGCCCTTCCCTCTCACCACTGGCCAGGCGTGACCTTGCTTCCTTCTCCGGAGCAGGGCCACTGCCTGTCCTCCACCCAGCCTGCCCCCAAAACGAGCAGTGCTGCCTCGTACCTGCCAAGTGGACGTCCACCACAAACAGCAGGTTGGCAGATGGATCGATGTCTGTCAGTAAGCACTTGCTTTGGGCCTTGCTTTTGGCTTCCATGAAGGCATTTATTTGCTTTGCTGCCTCGCTTGGGTTTGTAAAGTCAACAGCTCGGGCGTAGAGAGCATCAGTGGAGGGGAGCAAGTCCTGCACAAACGGTTGGGATAGAGGCACACCAGGGGCAGAGAACAGGCAGAGCATCTTGGAAAAGAGCAGCTCCTTGTCCCTGCTCTTGACGAGGCTTTCGATCATCCTCAGGCTGGAAAGGACTTTGTGTCCGTCCACCCTGGAGGTGCAGTCAGGGTCTCCAGAGGGGGGAATAAATCCCAGCAAACGCTGCAAATCAGCTGCTGTCTGATTTGAGGCGCCCAGGTAGAAAGACACCAAGGAGCTGTAAAGACTAACTGGGGACAGGAGGACGTTTTGGCCACGCCGCGCTTCCCGCAGTGCGCTGTAAAACCGTGCACCCAGGATGTACACAAAGTCCTTCATGTGACTCAGTTTCTGCCTCTCCCGGACACTCAGGCTTGGGGCTTCCAGTTTGTCCTTGTCATTCGGGTCATCTTCGTAAGCAAGTGTTGTTTGGGACTCAATGGAGGTGGGGACAAAGGTTTTCTTTCCCTCCGGGACCAGGCTTTCCAGCTCCTCACAAGTACTCTTGTTGAAAGAAAACAAATTGAAAGGGTGGACATAGACCCGGTCACAAGTCACTGTGGTGAGGCACACCAACAAACAGAGAAGATCTGCTACCAGGTTCATGTTGAAAAATTGCTTCCGCAGTGTCTGCTGAAAGAAAAAGTGGGGAGGAAAGAAGACTGATTAGCCTGTTATGTAAATACAGTTTCACTTACTCGCAGGGTGAGCTGCCAGTGCTGTGTTGGAGTTACAAAGGCAGGAATTCCAGTATTTAGTGCTTGTCTGACTCTGCCCCCTGAAAAGCCCAGGGTGAGGTGACCGCCAGCTTCACTGGTGGCATGTGGGGAAATGTTAAACACAGCTCTGACTCCATTACCCACTGCAGTACCCTAACGATTTAGCACTGGCAGCAATATGGTTGTGCACGCTGACTAGTTATACCTGCAAACTAGGGTGTGCTAGTTCTGGCAAAACATTATCATAATGCAAGTATATTGCTCCTGAGACCTGGGCAGAGCTATGTCTGCAAACTGCTGCACTAAATCTTGCTGACACATGGACAGGCTAAGCGATTTGCCTGCTGTTATGTGGGAAGTGGGCTTGGAAACCAGGTCTCTTAAGGACTGACCACTGCATGATCCCGCTTTGTACATCTCGTCAGCATAATACTTGTTCCTAGCAGAGCATTTTGTGTTTTCATAGCCCAGTGCAAACATTCATTCTAGCTTCTGGGCAAACACACTCGAGGCTTCCTTATACAAATGTGCTAACTCTGAAACCATTTTCATAGCACCTTCTTTACCTGAATACAGAGTTAGAAGGGGTAAGCTGAGTTTTACTCTACTGTACAGATAGTATTCTCCTGTGGTAAAAGACCACCTGCTGCTCTTATTTTTCCTGACAAGAAGCAGGGAATTTTCCTGGATGTAGATGTCACTGGTGTTTTGGCACAAAGGATCTGGTGCATACTGGAAATGAGAGTCATGGGCACACACACATATATGCGCACATGTGTGCAAACACACTGACAAATTTTTCATTTTTATATTTCTAACTTTTGCTATATCTGATTTTTTTGATAACTAATGGCTCTGCTGTACCTTCCCTGGAGTTCTAGTAGATGACTTTGAAGTTGTGAATTGGAAATCTAAATGTCTTTGAAATTATGCATCTATAACACTTATAATTGTCCAAATCACTGTTACTCAGAACTGTATTTTTATTCTACTAGTAATTTTTTGTTTGTTGTAGCTCTGTTCACTTTCTTTTGCTCTTTCCAAGCTCTGCAAAGCTCATTGAATGGGCAAATGCTAACAACCTTGCCAGTAACCAAGCTCTTCTTTCTCCAAGATTTCTTGAGTCAGGCCAGCTTGTCAGGTATTGTAAATCCAGTAGCCTGAGCCTTTTGAGAGGACACAGTGCAATGTCTGTCTCACTAACACTTTAAATTACACAGGGTGGAGGTGTCTGGGTTTAAATCCAGCCGTTCAAGACCTGGCACCTTCCCAGCCTGATTTACAATATATAACTGTATTAATTTCACTGAGGGATCCCCAAGTGTTTCATGTCTAATAATACCCCAGTTTGCAGTATCACCACTCTCCTGCAAATACAAAACCTGAGATGTACAGATGCTTGGTAATTAGACATACCTTGCTAAGTACATATGCCTGCTAACGAGCACATCTACATTCCCAGGCTGTAGACTTCTTCCTAACAGCTTGGTTTGCAAATAGAGTTTCTGTTGTTATGATAGTCCCTTGGGGTGTCTGAGTATCTTCCTTGCAGGTGGCTGCAGGTCAGGCCTGAAACTATTTGCTCCCCAGAGGCACGCAGAGGAGGACCCACTGTACAGCTCCAGTCTTGTGCCTTCATCCCAGGATTGCTTTTCCCCAGTTACTCCCACCCTGTCCTCTAAATTATTGTGTAGGCAGCGGCAGTCAGTGCTGCTATCTCTCTGCTCCCTGCCCTGTCTTCACCTCCCCATCCTCACTGGCAGCAGGTGACATGCATCACAGATCTTCTTCATTGCTTATGATGGGTGAAAAAACTATCTTGGGAGGTGCCTTCCCAACTGTATCTTCACAGTTAGCCCAGCCATGGTGCTAGTGCATTTCTAGACTCCTCGCTGCACTTTCCAGATTGGGACATCTCAGGAAAACAAACCAAAAAGCCACAAATGAGAGGCGCTGCCCTTCCCCACACTGTTCTCTCCATCATACAGTTCTTTTGAAGTATTTCTTATTCTTTCCTGTAGCAGCAGGGAGGATGACTCTGCCACCCACTCAGACTGTGCCATTAGGCACCATTGGTGCCCAGTGGTTAATTTTTTTTTACTACCAGTGCCACTATGTCAGCTCTTTTCTCATGAACAGAAACAAGAGGAGCAGTTCTCACTACCAGCATTTACGTGAAGCCCCATCTGTGGAAAGCCAGCATGTTGTATTTCCCTAAAGAAGTCAGCTGCGAGCCTTTCAGAAAAGCATGAAAACCTGAGTTGAAAAACTGGCATTCAAAGCAAATCCAGTTAGTGTGCTTACTCGCCTCCATCCTGGTGCGTGCCGCCCCTCCGGCGCCGTCCCCCCTTGGGCAGGCTCCTCGTGACACCGCTTTCCCCTGGAGCGGGGTGGCGTGACTGCCGGTGGACCTTTCCACAGGAGGGCCCTTTCTACATGTCTGCAGTGGCATTGCGCAAAGCTATTTTACATCACAGGCTGGGGGACCGGAAAAAGTTAGCTCAGGCCAGGCAGGACCCCATGAAACCTGAGCACGGCATAATATTGGCTGCATAGAAAGTTCTGGTGATGGGTACACAACCTTTAACCAGACCCAGCATGTTTGTGGAGCCTGCAGTTGTATATTTACTAAGACACACACAGGTGTTTTTCTGTGCAGAATAGCTGATTATAGGAGCTGAAAATAACTCAGCTCATTTTTTGCCAGACTGGAAGAAATGCAGATTTCTTTTTACCTGTATTTGTTGTACAGTTGGACCAGATTTTTAAATTCTCAGATAAATTGCCTTTATTCTCTACCTTGCAGCCTGGGTATCCATCACGTACCCTACTGCAAAGTAAAATGATTAAGCTCAATTTTTAACCTTTCTTTCCCTCTTGATTTATTCAGAGGATCAAAAGTTTGTTCTTTCTCTTCTTCAAAAGAAAATGTGTTGAAAAGAAGGGGATGAAAGCTACATGCATTAGGTTGCCAGAGCCAGATCACAGAGACTTCATCCCTCCCAGTCTCAGCTTCCCAAGTCCTATTTGGCAAAAAGGGTGGGACTTGGAGAAATTTCTGCTGCTTTTGAAATTTTCCTCCAGTTCTGGTGTGCCCCTTCCTCCTCTTTAAACACATAAACATTAAATCAAGCAAGGGACGATGCAGTTGGGTTAGACTGGGTCTCGTTCGGTGCCCCTGTTACAGTTAGTAATTAAAATCCCGTGACTCTAATGGGAGGAGGGCTGATTTAACATCCATGCCCCTATTTTAGAGGGACAGTCAGCTGTGGTTTGCATTGTGGTGCCCAATTACATGCTGGGTTCAAGGAGAGAGCCAAGAGAGAGGGATGTTTTCAGTGCACCTGGGCAGTCAGAGCTGGTGGAGCTGACGGTGGCGACAGGGACAGGCGAGTCCTACCAGCCCAAGCACTGTGTGCCAGGTGCCTAATTCCAAAGGGATGGGAAATTTCTGTTTCTGCAGCCCTGCTTTTCATTTAAACAATCTGATTACCTTAGCTCTAATGAGGTCTGAAAGTGGTCCTGAGCACAAGCCTGTAAGACATGCTATTATGCACACAAAGCTTAAACAGCTTGAAATATTCAAGGTGTTTTGTCTTCTTACTGCCTGAACATCTCAGTGGAGGAAGCATCTGGCAACAGAACAGTCCCTGAGCATTTGTACCGTCTCCAGACAGCTACAAAACACATGTAGCCCAGCCGTGGATCCAGGCAACGGGAGAAGTAGTTCCTCCATTAAAAATGCATTTTGTTCAGCTAAATGCTAAGAGAACAAGCTAGGTTTCGGGTTGCAATCCCCCTTCCTTCCCAACAGCCCATGAGTGTCCTTGCCGCAGGCAGGCAGCGGGAGGAAGCTGGTCCCTCAGAGGCCACTGGAGGTGCAGGTGGGATGTGCGACAGCACAACCCAAACCTGTGTCTCCTGCACTGCCACCCACATGGGTCCACATGAGGCACTAGGCACCAGCGGTGTGCATGAATGGCCAGAGCACACTGTGCCTGTGAGCTATAGCTGGTCTGCCATGTCCTTCCAGGAGGGGCTTGAACACAGGGAGGAAGCAAACCCAGCATGATACTCTCAGTATCGAGGACACAGAAACCAAGGCTGTTGCAGTGAAGGGCACCTTGTGTTCTGTAAAACTGAAATGAATCCTTATTAACAAGAATGATTGACTGGCTAATAAGCTACAAGTGATGCTAATAACATACATAACAGCTGCCAGACGTGTTTGCTGTGGACAACAAAAACCGGAAGGAGAAATCACATAACCTGCAGACACTGTATTTTTTTTTTCCCTTATATCATTATGCCTCTGTGCTGTAGCACCCAGAGGTCGTGCTGCAGCTGGTCATTTCCTCTTTTTATAGGTAGCAGCCCCACGTCAGGCATCCCTGGCTGCAGGGGATGCTGCCCCACAGAAGAGGGGGAACAGGAGGCATCTAAACAGTAACCCCAGTGCGCTGCTCTGGTGGCTCTGTCGCATAAAGAAAGTTCAGTTTCTAGTTGAAAGTACTCAGGTTTTTTGGCCAAGTTGACCTTTGGGGCTCTTTTGTTGTTTGTGCACTCAGTTCTATTGTTTTCTGTGGACAAAAAATTGTCAATGTTTTTGAGAAGAGCAGGAGTCTTTCTTTCTGTGTCATCTCCCCCCCCCCCCCCCCCCCCATAAAATAACAGAATTAAAATACCCAGTTTTCTCCAGAAAAATGTTTCACCAGAAATTGTTCAATGACCTGCTTTCACTACAGTGCTCCTCCTGCTTCAGACAACTGGGAATTTTTCTGGCCTCAGTAACGAGGGAGGACCTTTGATTTCACCATACGTTCATGCCCTACTACAAAGATCAGACACAATTCCCCTTAATTTGTCAGTCACTTATGCTCACTCAGTTAATATTCCCCTATTAAGATCCATCACACACTAGCACACTTCTTAGATCTTTGCCTTTTATCCTCTCACAGTTTCTACTAAAGAAGAAGCTTTCAGACTATGAATAACATAGGCTGCTACACCTGGAACATATTTTACCCTAGTAGGACTTAATTACAGTTAGTCTTCCATTTTACTTTTGAGCCATTTTTAAGCAGGAGTGCATGAGCATTATTCCAATTACTATATGTGGATCCTCTTGTCAGGCTCTTCTTTGCTGGGTTGCCATGGTTTTAGGAATGAGCATGTGCTTAAAGATAGAGCTTCAACTCTGGAAAGAAGAGTCTCTAACCTGCCCTTTGGCTCCAGTGTCCGAGGATTTGGCTCCCTGAAGAGAGCTGTGCCAGAAAACCTGCATTGGGCCAAACTTGGGCAAAAAACTTTCTGGCAACTAGGAACTGAGGAAGGTGAAAACAAGGTTGTTCCTATAAGCACCCCCTGTGCAAAGCAAGCCCAGGGCTCATGCACATTTCCTGACAAGTCTTTCCCTGCAACAGCCACAGTAAAGGTATAAAGAAACACAGACCTCTCAAACTTGCTCTTCAGTGAAGAGGTTCAGGTTCTCCTTTTGCCCCACTCTTTTCGATTTTGGAGGGGCACTCGGCTCCCTCTTTTATACTCGCTCTTACATAAGTGGGGCCCTCCCTCCCTCCTCCCCTCCACTGCCCTCATTTCTCTTCAAAACCTGCCTCTGTTTTTCCTGCTTGTTATTCATGGTCACTGCTGAGAGGGAGCAAAGAGGGGTGGAAAAACACTGGTGCTGCAGCTACAGGTCCCCTTGCAGCCATGCTCAAAAGGATCAGATCTCCTGTTCAGCCTTGGTCTTCTGAAGTGTCAATGGGGAAACATTCCCCTGCCCCACGGAAAATTTCTCCGTGATGGTGCTGCTAGCACTTCATGTAAATACTGTCAAAAGGGCTCCAGAAATTTTAACCCTGGCAGAGGAACACTAATCCTACAGCTGGCAGTGTGTAATTCAGACCTGAATGAGAAAACGATTTTGTCTGAGCTAGAATTTTGATTGATCAGCCAAGTGGCTCTTTTTTGCTGAAGAACATCACGTCTCCACTCTGTCGAAAAGTGTTTTCATTGATCCAAATCATTCTGGGAAAAGCTGTATAAAATTCAGCACTTTGGCAGAGACAATAGTAAATATTTTATTCTGTTTTGTTCAGTTCGTTTTCCAGATTTCCCAAATTTTGCTCAAAGGGGCAAGACAAAGGGGCAAGACATACTCCTGTGATGATGTTCTTGTCTCCTGCGAGGTTATGGTCGGAGTCACAGAGGAGAGATAATAAATTATTCTGCTCATAGTGTTAAACCACAGACTTTCACATGGGCTCTTCCCAGGTTGAGTTGGCGTGTCTAAGCTACGCAGATTATAAATTAATATATGGCTAACTCAGACATAACAGCATATACATGGTCATATATCAGTCATTACTAAATTTGAGGGTTTCTTTTTTTTAAGACTAAAAGTACCTTGAATGAGAAGTAGACCACAAATAGTTTGTTTATGAACCTGTGGGTTGACTTTGGTAGCCATAACCCTCTACACCCCATCAACATCCATAAAGTTCCCTCTCTCTTCTGCTTTGGTAAGGGAAGACAGCATGAGGTCTGGACAAGGCACCCAATGGAGAGGGCAAACAGGCACTGGGAACAGGACAGGAAGGAAAGGAAGAAGAGGATGCCTGTGTTGGGGGATCTGACAGAAGGAAGACAGAAAATATCGCTTCATCAGCTTGTGCAGTGGTTGCCCCAGGTGTGGCAGGTAGCCATGACAGTGTAAGGACCACCATTTGTGAGACATCCAGGAAAAAACTTTGTAGAGCAGCCAAATGCCTACAGAGACCACAATACTTCACTTGGGAAGAGAAACCACTGGTATGATTGGTATAAAAGTATGATGATGAAGGTGAACAAATATTCCTGAATTACTGTTTTGTAACAATGCTAAAATCTGCGGGTTCCCAGTTGAATGATGAAGCAGCAAATAAAAATGAAAGGAAGGGCCCTTTTGTATGTATAGACTGCAGGACACACTGCTGTAGGATGCTTCTGAGACCAAAAGTCTTAACTGGTATAAAAAGAGATAAAAAGAAATCACAGAGGACATGGCCATCGGAGGCTGCAGAACATGATGGCCCAGGTGCAACTGCTAACTTGGGACATTCCCAGAAAGCTGGCCGTCAGGAATTTTAGCTTGATCCATATAACAGCTCTTGTGCTCCTCTCTAAGGGCTCATCTTCAGCTTGTGATGGAAATAGAGATGCCTGAGCTGGGGCCAGCTCATGCTGCCTCATTTTGCAGCACAGACCAGAAATACTTCCAGTAGAGCAATGCCAGTGAAAGATCACACACAGCAAACCCAACCCCCAGCCTCGGTGCTGCTGGGCTGCGCACAGCGTGTTTAGGAACCCACAGCTATCTCTTCAAAATCAACAGAAGCCCTGGAAAATAGGAATAATTTTCAAAAACTGTGGGTAGGCTCTTAATACTAGTTAGCCAATATTCAGTTTTTTTCTCTTTTAGTTGGGGTACATGTACTAACCAGTGACAGAGTTACTGCACTGGGGTCTGAAATGTGTCTCCATCTCGTGCTGGACTTTTGGGCTTTGTTCTCACTTCATCTGTACACAAAGTACGTGGTGACTTTTTCCTGAGTAAATAAGTAGGGAAGAAGGGGTATAGCTCTGGCAATAAGTCAAGCAGTTTTCTATACATTAGTAAACCAATTTCCTCCCCATTCTGTGACAACTGTGGCAAACAGCCATTGGCCTGATTTTATTTGGGGTTTTTTTGCTACCTCTGGTGGGGAAAGACTCTGCAAAGTAACTTTTTTTTTTTTTTTTACTGTTTTAATAAAACTTTGATAAGGAATGGTTTTGCATGTGATTTTTTCCCATGTTTTCTCTGTACACCTGACCTCTGCCCCTTGTTGGCTGGAACCACTTTTCTGTGAAAGCAGCTGGTGTGCATGGGGGATGTACTCAGCTTGCCCAATTTTTTGTGTAAAGAGGATTGCAAAAATGCTTTTCAATAATAGCATTCAAAGTACAGATGATGAAAGAGAGAGATTATCCCGCTTCTGCCACAGGTTCTCACAGCAACGAGCAGTGGAAAAATCGGTAACGCGGCGGCTACAAACCCCCAAGGACCACATGTGCCACCCCTGCTCTGGGGCGGAGGGACACAGTGTGCCAGCCTGAATGATGCCAAAATGCATGTGGGTGATTGGGCAGCCAGAGAGCTGCCTCAGGTAGCTGAGGCTCCCCCAAAAGGGCACGTGTGGCACATCGATCCCTCCTCACAGGAGGAGAGGTGCCCTGGCTATGCCGGTTGCCCCAGAGCAACCACCCTGGCAGTGCTGCAAAACCTCTGTGGTGGAGGAGGGAGCATCACCAGCCCCATACCTCTTTCTACTTCTCAAGGAACAGTCCCCTTGAGGGAGGTCTGTGCGCTGATGACCCCCTATCTGTGTTCTTCTAATGATTTAATACCCAAATGAGCTTATATTAACACTAGCATGTTGTTCCAGCTTATAATTACATTTGATTGGTTAAGGCTTCTGTTTGCAGGCCCAGAGTGTAGAGATTTCTTTGAATTTTTGTAAGCCTATTTTTTTTCCTTACCCAGTGGAAGATACAGTTTTTAATAGCACTTTAATAATGGTCCATTTAAGCCTGCACATTCACACAGAGTCAAGACCATGTGTCCACTGTGCATACAGGCAAAGGGAACCTCCTACCCTGAGGATCTCAAAATACTTTGTAGTCTAACAGTTATATCAGCAATGTATAATTGATTTTGGGTCCTCCTCTGTGGCGGGTGCTGTGCCTGTGGGGACTGACAGACAATTCTGGACCAAAGCAGCCAGGACAGAGTGAGCCTGCCGTAAGAGGGAAAGTGGACATGAAGAGGAGACATGATTCAACTTCAGCCACACAGCAGATTGGCAACATCTCAAGGACAAGCAGACAGGTTTCTTGACTCCCAGCTCAGTGTGTTACCTATTTGATCATGCTGTTTCTTCATCCTCGGATGAGAGCTACAAGGCAGAGACGCAGGGATGACAGTGCCTGCACAACAACATACCTGTCTCAAAGAGCTGGTGACAGCTTTGTTATCAGAATTTATATATATATTTCATGATACTCTCCTGACCAATGCCTTTATGTCAGGGAGGGATTTTACACTGTCCCAACATTTCCCAGCTGGGTCAGCCACTGAAGTCTTCAAGCTGTTCCCCAGGATGAGCGAGGGAAGCAGCCAGGTGACTGCTGTCTGGGAGATGCCACAATGTTCAGCTCCAAAACATCCTGTTCCCCTCAGTATTGCAAGGTTGCTGCATAAAGCTCAGTGAAGATTTACTCCTGGGGATCTTCTAAGTGAGACCTAGGGAGGCTAATCCTTGCTGGCACTACTGGGATTTTGAAACTCTCATTGCTCTTTTTTGTCCCAGGCCAAACTGTCCCCAGTGCACCATATGCAATAGTTGTTGTCTTCTAGCCTGGAAATTCAAAGCATAGCTGTAAAAAGGCCTGTGGAAGCTGGGATACCCCTATTCCCTGCACAAACTCAGGTTCCCCTTTGTCTTCTCCCTAGCCTCCTTCAAGCCACCTCCATCCCTCCTCCCCTTCCTTTGCTCACAGATTCTTGCCCTTGGTGGGCAAATAGTTGCAAGCAGTAGGACTCTGCTATTTTGGATGTTATTCTGTGTTCCTCTGCAAAGACTGTCTGTGGTGGTCTCCTGCCTCACTCCAGGAGTGGTTTTAATCATATACAGTTTATACAGTTCATTAGTGAGAAACAGACTGGTTCCTTCCCCACTGTGGGGTTTATCGGACTCTTCCATTTTCTGGAGTTGTAGCCACTAAAAGGCAGCTCCCATACAGCCAGCCAGCTACAGGGGCAAACCCGCAACTCTCTTGGGCCAGCAGCAGCAATTTCCACTGCTCCAAATCTAATCCATAATATAAAAAAGGACAGACCCATTCGTGACTTGAGATAAAGGTGTGGCTTTCAGATTCGCTTTAATTTAAAGGGTGCACAACTGACGATAGCAAAATTGTTGGCCATGTTAAACTCCCTCTTGTTTTCAGATCCTGGTAGAAAGAGAGAAAGGTAGAAAGCAGGGAGAAGGCCAGGCAGGGAGACTGAGCCAGGCAGCATCAGGTTAAGGCTGCCCAGGTTGCTAGAGTCATGCAGGATCTCCCTCCTTGGGGCTGCGGTGCAGACCCATCACCTCCTTCAGGACCAGCTCCAGCCATGACACGCAGAAGCGGGAACCAACTTCCCAGCACTGATGTGGAACTATCGGCAGGTCTAAAGTTGGCGAAAGAAGGTGAGTGAGGGGAAGACGGGTCCTAAGCCAGCTGGTTGAAGAACGGCAGGGATGGAGGCAGCTCCCCCTCTCTCGTTAGCCGAAGCTGCCTCCGTGCGGAGTGGCTCCGCATTGCCTGCCGGCACCGCAGCAGTGCCTGCAGTGTTTGGAAATGTTATTACCTTACTGCACTTTGTTAAACCAATAATTCTGAAAGCAAGAGGAGGGAAAACTTACATTTATGCCCAGTGGTGTTTTTTTTA